GTAGGAGGCCTGGTGGTATTTCATTCAGACTTTAGGCTGCGCCTTCTGGGCCTGGTGGTGGCACTGCCTGGTGTCCCACGGTGCCATTTCACTCCGTAAATGAAGCTGTGAAGCTGCGGTGGGGTTCTTCCTGTTGCTAGAGGAGAAATCCTCTCTGGGGCTGCCTCCTAACATCTGCTGTGCTCCTGCCGAGTGAAAATGAGAGCGCCGGTTTAGCGCAAAGCCTTTAGCAGCAGAGAGCAGATTTCCCTGGGTCAGCAGACGTGTCACTCGGGAATGAAAAGAGCTTCTCCGTCCTCGTGCTGTGTTGTGTTGGTGCCGAGGAGCAGCCCTGCCCTTTTTGTTTGCCTCAACCATTGCTGTGTTGTGCCCTTGGCAGGTATAACCTCTTCACGGGCTGCCCGAAGGCCAAGACGTGCACGATAATCCTGCGAGGAGGCGCCGAGCAGTTCATGGAGGAGACGGAACGGTCCCTGCACGATGCCATCATGATAGTGCGGAGAGCCATCAAGGTAAGGAGCCCGGGGGTACCTCCCTGGGACAGGCTCTGGGGCAGCCGTAACGCCTTCAGCAGCCTTCTCACACCCCCCAGCACTGGCTGAGGTCTCTCCTACTGAACCCAGGAGCTCCAGCCTGTAGGCTGAGTGTGCAGACGAGCAGTGTCTGACTGAATAACTCGATTGCTGCCTCCTCTGCAGCATTGCCAGCTGCTTTCCAGGCACGCCTGGCTTTGTCTCCTCTTTAGTTTTTAACTTAATTATCCTCGCTGGGTTGCTGCGTGTTCTGTCAACACCTTCACCCTGCCAGGGAGCAGTCTTTGGGGTGTGCTGGGTAGTTCTGAAGTGGATGTGAGTAGCAAGGTTGATTTTTGAGCCTGAATTTTATCTGTTACAAGCCCATTCCTTCCTCTCTTGGTGAATTCTCAGAGGGGTGAGCGTTGGTAACCACCCCCCTGTGTGAAGAGGGGGATCTGAGGTGTGTGGGGCTGTGCCGTGCTTGCAGGGCTCCTGGTCCTGTGTTCCCTAATTGCAGCCGTTCCTGGGTTGTGCATGATAACGTGGTCATGTGTGGTGTGTTTTTTTTTTTTTTTCCTGTGAGAAGGAAGCATGTCAACACTTTTGGAACTGTTCTGGCTTTAGAAAGAACATCCCGATCTCTCTCTACTGAAGCAGATAGGGAGGGGGAAAAAATAGCTGGTAGGAGAACTTGGCTGCCAAGTGCTGCTGCAAATATCTTCGGTTCTGAAGGCTTCACAAAAATGAGGGACACTTGTGCAGCACGAGAGAGGCTGCAGTCTGCCATCCCCTCCTGGGACAGCTCCATGGGATGGAGCTGCTGTTGTAGGGGCCACCCGAGGGTCTCAACTTGTTTCTGAAGTGTGATGGCCCAGGCTGGGGGCTTCCCCTGGGCCTAGAGTGTCCTGCGTTTTTGGGACAGGAGTGCGAGCATCACCTCTTTTCCCTCTTTTCCAGAACGACTCAGTGGTTGCCGGCGGTGGCGCGATAGAGATGGAGCTCTCCAAATACCTCCGCGACTACTCCAGGACCATTCCGGGCAAGCAGCAGCTGCTGATAGGAGCTTACGCTAAAGCCCTTGAGATCATTCCCCGGCAGCTCTGTGACAACGCCGGCTTCGATGCCACCAACATCCTGAACAAGCTGCGAGCCAAGCACGCACAGGTGGGTGCCTGCCCTTGGGCAGAACCACTCTTAATTCCGCTACGTTTCCGCTGGGCTCGTGTCCCCTTTTGATGAAACGCTGTGTTTTGTTTTCAGACGTGGTGTGGGCTTGCGGCAGGTTGCTATAAAGGGAAATGATCTGTTTTCCCTTTGATCGCAGCTGTCGGGCGACTTTTTTGGAGCTGGGAGTTGTGATTTGCTTGTTTAAAAATGCATCGGTTGTCAGGAGGGAGGCTTCTATATTAAACATGAAAGTAATTAGTGGGAAAGTTGGCTCGGCGGTGTTTTTTCCAGAGGAGCTGCGGACTGCAGGCCCTGATTGCTTGCCATCACTTCACATCTTGTGGTGTGTGTGCACGTGAGGTCCTAATTCAGGCAGCTGGGTCTGGGTTTGCTGCTCGTGCCTCTTAGCAGCAACCACGTCGCTGTGGTGTCACGCTGAGGATGACTGGTGGGTAAGGGGATGAGACAACAGCAAGGTGCAAGTCGGTTGTGAAGCTTTTGGCAGCTTCTTTGTGAAATGGAGCAAGTTTCCTGCTCTGTGAGGCTTCACTGCCGCTGTTGTAAGCCAGCCGAGCCTTTTTTCCACGTGTTCTCCTCAAATTTCCCTCCTCCTTTGTAAAGCAAGGTCCAATCTTCGTCTCCTTGAGTGTTTTCATGCCCTCACTTCTCAGAGTGCAGACCCTGAACTGATTCACCCTATAACAAGACCTTTTTCTCTTTTCTCTCTCCTGCCAGGGCGGCATGTGGTACGGCGTGGACGTCAACAACGAGGACATCGCTGACAACTTCGAGGCCTGCGTGTGGGAGCCGGCCATCGTGCGCATCAACGCGCTGACGGCCGCCTCCGAGGCCGCCTGCCTCATCGTGTCCGTCGACGAGACCATCAAAAATCCCCGCTCCACCGTGGATGCCCCACCCGGGGGCCGGGGCCGGGGCCGAGGCAGACCCCACAACCACTGAACCCCGCTCCCTGTGGGCGTCCTAACGCGACCGGGGCTCTCCCCGAGTGCGCGGATGGGAAACGAGTTGATTTCTAGCTTAATTAACAGGCCCTTCACCAGATGGTCACTCGGAGGGCTCACAGGCAACCACTGGCCTCGTTTAATTAGAGTCAAATCTTGGCGGCGGTGGCAGCCTCCCGTGAGGTGCCCTGCCCCAACATTTCCTACACAGCACTGATCCCCCGAGGCTCGCCCCGTGGAAGCTGTGCCGGGCAGAGCCCTCCTCGCTGCTGGCAGGCAGCGCAGCGAGCACGCCTGGGGGTTTCTTTGTATTTATACGTCTTGCTGCTGGGGGTTTGAACCCAGGCTCAATAAAAGAATGGAAACCCGTGGCAGGGCTGTGGTGACTCTCTCTTTGCCACTTGCTTCATTCTACAGGGTGGTGGCTTGAGGTTGGAGTACCTTTTAAGGATTTTTTTTCCCCATTTTCCCCATCGATTCTGCTCGGGGACATTTCTGCTTGCGTCCTCCTATTTGTTACCTGCTCTGTGCAGCATGTGAGCGGTCATACTGCAAAAATGGGGGCAGTTGCAGCCTTTCTGTAAAAACCCTCCTGCCATTCCTTACTCTGGGTGTTAAAACATCAAAGCTTTTTAGAGAAAACACCTCTGCTGTCTGGCCGGGAGGTGTAAAAACAGGATCTGGGCACTGTGTGGGTTTAGGGGTGGTTCTAACATCCCTGCAAGCTGCCCTCGTGTGTGACTGCTGCTGTGTCCTTCGTGAGGAGCTTGGCTCTTTTTGGCCTCTGCCCCTGTCAGTTGGTTTGGGTTTGAGCTCTCTTCTTGAGGAGAGGGAAGTGATAGCACGAGGGCTGCCTCCAGTAAGGCTGGAGCAGCAACTGGTCGCACTGGTTTGGTGCTGGACTCGGGGATACATCCTCTGCCCTGGGTTTTGGGTAGCCTCAGGGTGAGCAAAAGCCCCACCTCGCTCTCCAGAGTCTTTATTCAACACCGGGTCATAAAATAGTTCTTTACACACTTGTTTTTTTTCTTTCTTTTTTATAATTCTTTAAATACACATTGTTTACACTCGGCAAAGTTTCAAAGCAACAACATCAAAGTGCGTCTACAGGTGATAGTACCAACCAAAGTGCTAAAACCAGGGGGGACCCCGGAGCCGCCCCCCCCTTCCTCCGGCACCTCCAGCCTCGGGGACCCAGTTTAGCATCGGGGGGCGACGGGGCAGGGGGGGAAAAGGGGACGTTTGGTTCTCCAGACACTGGCACATCGCTGCGAGAGACTAAAATAGAGCTAGATTTATCGAGAGTGTTTAAAAAAATAACTGAGGAGGCAAACTCGATACCTTTTGGGAAGAGGGGAGGGGGTCACTGTACAGAGCGCCTCGGGCATCCCTTGGGGCCAAGCTTCTTCTGGAGCAGGCACCAAGAGAAGTGCTGTAGGGCAACGATTGTGATGGGGGACACGTGTCTGTCCCTTGGGGAGCCCGTCTGTCTGTCCGTCCGTCCGTCTGCTGATTATCTCAAAGCAAATGTGCGCTGACCCCACAGCCACCCCACCCGCCCCCCAACCATTGCACCCGCTTGGCCCCGGCCCCAGCCCGGATCCTGCCCCCTCGGGGCTGGGTCCTGAGGCTGGCTCAGAAAATCCCGTTTGATTTTCCTGCTTTTTTAATTTTTTCCCCTCTCCTTGCTGCTGTGCAGCACCGAGGGGTTTGCAGCAGCTTTTCCTCCCGCTGGCAGGGCTGGCCGAGCATCGCCCCGCTCACCCTACACCACGCTTTGGTTGCAACAAACCATTTCCAGCTGCTGAAATCACCCTGCTCCCCGCTTTTTTATTTGATTATTATTATTATTTTTTAAAGCATGTTGTCATTTGGCACCAATTCCCAAACGCTTTTGCTCCACCCGAACCTGCAGGTTTTCAACCCAAAACTGAGAGGCTGGAGCCACGCACCAGCGCCCAACATGGGGCTGGCTTCGTTGTGGCTCCTCTTAGAGCTGAGGGAAACCTCTCGTTGTCTGCTCTGAGAAGAGCCTAAGAGCCTTTATCAACATTTTTCACATATTTTGCTTGTTTTTTGTTCTTTTGAACCTAATTCAGAGCCTTTTGGCTGTGTAAGACCTGGCCGTGCCCGTGCCTTGGGCGGCAGCCGGGGCTGTGACCCCGTGGTGACATTTGGGATATTTTTCCCTTGCCATCCGCCTCGCTTGCTGGATAAATCAAAATCCTCCTTGGATGGAGCCAACACGGGGCTTTTCTCCTCTCCTGGAGAAAAAAAAACAACGGACGAGGGAGGGAGGCAGAAAAAAACGTGGATTTGGGGTGAGTTTGGCCCCCGAGCTGGCTTTTGCTGGTGTTATTCCTCTTGATGCCCCTGCCCGGCACCGAGGTTCAAGAGAAGGGGAACGCCGCTAATGTTGGCCATGGGACAACTTTGGGCAAGCTCGCTAGAAAAGGAAGAAATCCCCCAAAACGGGTCCTGTGGGAAGCCACCAGCAACCCCAAAAGAAAGCTGCTCGCCCCTGGGGCCCCCTAGCTTGGGCTGGGGATTGTCATCGCAGAGCCCCAGTGGGGCTTCTCTAGGGTCTGGTATGGGGTTGAGCTCACGCTATGGCAGTCCCTTCCCTGCCGGCACCCTAAAAGCGCTGCGTGGTTTCGGGGTGCTCCCGGGGGATTTGGGATTTTTGGTCTCCATCGTTTCCAGAGGGATTGGGGCTGAAGCCCCACGACTGAGAGAAGCGTCACTGAGCACCCGTGGGGGGGGAAGAGGGTGGGCGATGGGGGCTGCGGGGCACCCGGTGGCACCGTGCCCGTGGGACTGGGAGCCAGCAGGGAAACCATCACCAAGACGCTGTTAATGAGCTCGTTGCCATTAACAACTCAGCAATTAGGAGCCCCCAGGAGGGCTGCAGAGATGCAGGGCTCTCGTTACCACCAAGCCCACATCACCCCATGGCAGACGCCTTCATCCCTGGCTGAGGAAGAGGAGGAGGAGGAAGGGATGTGTCCAAGCCCAGGCATTGAGAAAAATAGAGGAAAAAAAAAAACCCTCACGTTCCATCTTCAGAGCCTTGAACCCGCTCAAGGCCTCGTGTCCTCACGGGATTTTGTAAAAAAAAAAAAAGGGGCTTTGCCAAGCCAGAAATTGGACTTTTGGGGAGTGCCCCGAGGGGAGGCGGCTGGTTTGGTGTGGTCTCGGTGACGCACCGAAGCACCGATTTGGGGAACAGGGACGTCACACAAAGCCAAACCACCCAATGATGCCCCACAGCACCATGTCCACAAGCCAAAATGTGCACCGGCAACACCAGCAGCCACTCGGGCGGGCACCGAAGGTTTCTCCAAGTCCTCAACATCTCCCCAGCCTCTCCCCGACCCCATCCCCGCAGCCTCCAGGAGCCAGCAGGGTCCAGCAGCACATCGGGGCAGCCACCTTCAGCCTCGGGCCACGACTCTCCGACACGATAGTCTTTAAGCATAGAGTGTATAAACATGCTGAATATATAATTTTCCTTTAAAATCTCTTTTTTTTTTCCTTCTTTTTTTTTTTTTTTAATAGAAATAAATACTTACTTTGTTTCTTTGAAGGGAATTTCACAAGTCTCTGCGCCGTTTCCCATGGAGACGTCCCCACCAGGGCCACCACGCTCGTGGGATGGTGACAACAGCGGCACACGGGGCCGGGGGCTGTGGCTTTGCTGGGTGTTTTTTTTTTTTATTTTTTTTTGCTGGTGGGGGCACCCCTCGCTCCTTGTGCCCCCGTTTCTGCGTGTCCCAGCCTCTCCGGGGTGGAGGTAACCCGTGGTGGGAGCTTGTCCCCAGGATGTGGTTTCTCGCAGGCAATTTTTGGGGATCCCGCGCTCAGTGCGCACGGGGAGTCAGAGGGTCACGGGGGGGGTCAGAGGTGCTTCACGTCGGGGGTTACGGCCAAAAAAATAGGCACGTGACCCTACCCTGCTTCGGAGGAGAGAGCGGAGATGGGATGAGGAGGGGACGAAATGGTCTTCTGGGGTCGGAGAGCCAGGAGCTGCCTCCACCCCGCCGTTGGCCTTGGCGATTTGGGCGCTTTCCATTGGGGTCCCCGTGGGTTTCCAGCGTGGTCGGAGCTCCAGGCTGAGGTCAGTGGTGTGGTGGGGAAGGTGGTACTGGGATGGGCCTGTGGTGTCCTCCATCCCAAGGGGATGCTCGGTGGCAGCCCAGCACCCTGGTAGGGCTGGAGGAAGGGGAGATGCTTGGGAAGAGCTGGATCCTCTCAGCCCCGCATGCACCATGGGTGGCCCCATTGGCCAACAGGCACCAAAACCTTCATCGGTGGCCCAGAAGAAGACAAATCCTTCCCAAATCTGCTCTTCCCAGTTGGCTCCTCTCAGCATAAGGCGTGGGGTCCAAGCACGCCTGGTTGGGGTCATGGATAAGGGCACCGGGTCCCTGCTGCGGGCAGTGCTGTGATGGGGGTCCCCTGGGGTCTTCTCTTAGGGCTGAGGACGGAGATGCCTGACCCCGCTGGAAGCCTTTCAAGAACCTTCTCCTTTGGAAAAAAGAAGGGGGCTTGGGGGCTGATGCCATTGCAGGAAGGAGAGAGCCAGAAGAACAAAAGCAGAGCTAGAAAAGAAGCAGTGGACGGAGATGGGGGCTCTACCAGGGCAGTTGGGCTGGTGCTTCCTCCAGCTGCTTTGGGTTTGGGGTTGATTTGGCCTGGGTTTCTCCTTCGGGCTGCTGGGGACGGTGAGGAGAGGACAAATTTGGGTGTCCCGTGCCAGTCCCTCTCTCCACACAGGACAACTGGCTCCAGAAGGAGCTCGGGTGGGTGGTCAGCGCTGGTGGGGATGGGAGCACGCCCCATGTTTCCTGGTGGGCGAGGACATCGGGGCTGGTTTATTGCCTTGGCAGGGAGGGCTGGGTGCAGGGGGGACGAGGCTGGAGGCCTCCGGACGAGCAGCCTTCTCCTGGTGTCCTCCAGACGCGGTTATGCTGTGCTTGTGCTGTCGTGGCTGCTGGTTTCTGGGCAGCGTTGACACAACTTTGGGTTTTCTGTCACAGAAATGCGATGAAAACGAGCAGAGGACGGTCCCAGCCCTCCTCATCCACCAGCCCACGGAGGGGACGGGACGGTCTGGGGGTGACCCACAGGGCCCGGCGCTCTGTGAAGGGCCTACGGGGGTGGTGGCCTGAGCCATCCTCAGCTCCCACACCAAGAAACGGCCGAAATAAAACCAAAACCAAAATAAATAACCCCCCCCTCAAAAAAAAAAAAAAAAAAAAAAAAAAAAAAAAAAAGAGTTCAAAAGAAAAAGACATTCCCCAAACAAGGATCCTTGGCGATGAGCAGCCGCGGGGTTCGAAGCCGTCTTCCCTCCGGGGAAGCAGCACGGGCCTGCCCCTTTGGGCAGCTGAAAAATTCCCCTAAGTAGCACCTTCTGGCCCGCCACACGGCCGTGGAGCCGGCCCCAGGGCGAGCACAGGCTGCTCACTAAGGCCTGGAGAGTTTTGGGTTTTATTATTATTATTTTTTTTGTGCATGTGGCCGGCGTCTCCGGGCTCCAGGAGCGCGGCGGGCTTGGGTTCGGTTGTGCGGGGCCTCAGGCTCCGCCAGGAGGGTGAGGGAATGTGCTTGGTGGGTCCCTGAAGGTCTAGCAGCCTCCTTCCACCTTGATGTGTAAGATCTTGGAGAAGCCGGGTCTTTTCCTCAGGGCCTGGAGGAGGAGCAGGGAGCGGGGTTGGGGTGGGATGTGGTAGGCCTCGCCGCCCCTAAAGGGCCAGTGAGGGAAAAAGGGGAGAAGATCTCGTGTCCTACCCATGGGAAGGGGTCTGCCCTGGTGCCACCCCACCACCCACACCCCGTGGGGATTTGGGTCCCTTGTGGGACTGCCTCAACGCCCCCGAAGCCAGCTCTGGGGTGGGGTTCTCCTTGGTTTAAGGCACATTTTCCAGGGGGCAGCGATACTTGGGGGCAGGCGACATCAACACGGAGCCATTTGCGTGGTGGTGGGCAAGGAGGGGGTCTCCAAAACTCTTCTGCAGGTGTCCCCGAGCCCAGGGGTGGATGTGGGTCTGGGTCTCTGCCCCCTGGTGCTCCTGTGCCGGGGATAAGCAGTGCAGGAGCCATAAGAGACGTGTGGCCCCATCTGGGTGTGCTGGTGGGCCTCCATCCCCACCTCCTGCCCTGCATCCCACAGGTGTTTCACCTTGTGCCCAGCCCTCTGCAGGATGAAGGCAACCAGAGGACGAAGAGAAGTGGAAGAAACTCTCTTTTTCCTCTTTTTTTTTCCCTTGGGCATGGGTGGAAACGTCTGCTTTGGAGACCTTGCCCAGACCCAGGATGGCCCAGACCCTGCTGAGCATGACAAAAAGTTCTGCAGCACCGTGTAACTGAAATTACCCCCATTTCTCCTTTTATGGGTGGATTTTAAGTGATTTTACAGAGATAGGAACTTAAATTGTGCTGGGGGGGGGGGGGAAATTAACAGCCTGTCCTTGAGGGACAAACCTCAGAGCAGCAGAAGGATTAAGGCAGTGGGAAGGAACTGCAGCATGCTAGATCTTGTTTTAGCCTTTGGGACTTGGGTCTGAACCAGAGTAAGTCTTCAGGATGTCCCCCAGAGAGCCAAAATGTTCTCCACTGGGGGACCCGGGACCATCACCCCTTACCTGGAGCTTGTTCACCATTTCTTCAAACATCTTCTTGGCCTCAGGGCTGTGGGGCTCCTTGAAGTAGTCCACGATGCCCACCTGCACCACGATGGACTTCAGGTTCCGGCACACACCTGGGGGCAGAGACACCCCATAACTGGTGGGCACAGCCTCCCTACGGCTGGGATTGACCCTACAACCCATCCTGTGCCCCTCACGGCTTCAATATTTGGGGAAACCTCATCCTGATGACGGAGGAGACCCACTCTTGGTGACCAAGCCCTCCGCAGGGAGGATGGTGGTCTACAAGAGGTCCCAGCACCTTGTGGTGTCAGTGGCGTGTTCCTACTGGTGGGACTGGGTGGAACGGTCTGCTTTATGGATTTGTGGTGGCATTTTGGTCAGCGGATGATGTTATGCCCCGGTGACTACTCACTGTTGAAGTGCAGCAGGGCTTTGGGGGTGACCGGCGTGGAGGTCAGCACCAGCATCTCCAACCCCTTCAGCCCCTCGCGACACATCTCAGCTGCCACCTCTTGGTTGATCTCCGCCACGTGGTCCAGCTCCAGGACCTGCAGCCTCATGCAATTTCGGGCTAAAAGGACAAAAAGCCCACGGTCAGGAGCCCCAGGAAGGGATGGGGACATCCAACGCCACCGGGATGGTGGGAGGAAGGGTTGGGGCAAGGAGGAGCAGCATCCACCCGTGGTCCTCCCCCAGGGGTACACCATGACTTTGGCCATGGTCCTTCTCCTTGTCCCCCGGGAGGAGAAGCACCTACCTAAGGAGGCCAGTCCCTGGACACCACAGCCTGCCCCTCCGATGCCCAGCGCCCGGAGGTGAGGCCAGCACCGGCCGATCATCTGAAGGCAGCGGTTGCTGAAACGCGTTGGCTGCTGGCTGGGGAGAAGAAGAAGAAGAAAGAAAGAAGAGCTGGGGAGAGCTGGCAGAAAAGCTCACCTCCCACCACGAGCATCCCTGTGGGTGGCGTGGCCACGCTGGCAGGAGGTGGCCCCAGGGCAGGTGTCTCCATCGGAGCAGCTACCCTGGGCTGAGCAGGAACCAGGAGATCCTACAAGCAGGACAGTTCAGGAGCCAGGAGTTCCTACAACCAGGGCAGAGCAGGAACATGCACTCAGCGGAGTCCCTCTGCCCCAGATCCTTCACCTCTGGAGGTCCGAGCTCTGTTGCCTGCAGTGATCGAACTAGCAGCAGGTGGAGAAGCCTACGTGCCACTTGAGGTGTTCCCCAGGGAAGAAATAAGTCATCAGGGATAAATGTCATGTTCAGTGCCATAAGTCATGTTCAGTGTCACCACCGGAGCTATCACAGACCCCATTTGGGGTCTGGCAGTCTCCCCAGAGGCATTTCTGTCTGGCAGAGAGGTTCCCACACCCAGCATCTCCCTTTTTTTTTGCAGCCAGGGATGGGGCTGAGCTCCTGGTCCTACAAGATCCAGCTCCCAGGGATCCCACAAGCAAATGTGGACCTGAGACCCGACTTCTTTCCAGCCCCCGTGCTCAGCCTGGCTCCTTCCAGCCTCAGCAGGACCCTTACCAGGGGTGCAGAGGTGCGACCTGGAGGGAGATGATGTCCCTGCAGCCTGCTCCGAGGGCCCAGATGACTTCATGACCCACGGGGTCCGTAGAGCTCCTGGAATGACACAGGGGACATGGAGGTGAGGCTGGTGGTGGAAGGCGAGGTTGAAGGCTGAAGTCAGTTGAGGCCACCAGCTCGTGCTGAGGTCTCCAGCCACGTCCCTGCACTGATCCCTGCTGAGGGCTGAGGCTCCCTAACTCCAAATGACCTACTTGGAAACTTCAGGTGAGCCTAAAAATAAGCGAGGGGGTGTTACCGTGACCGTTTCACACATCTGCAAGGAAGGTGTCTGCCATGAGCCCCCTGGGCGTGCGCTGGGTTAATTGGGCATGAGTCAGAGTCACAGGTTGGCGATGCGCCCTCGAAGGGCTGCTGGCCGAGTCCTCGCAGTGTGGGGTCCCCGCAGCAGCCAAGAACTTGGTACATACAACTTGTGGGGTGCCCCAGGCACACTTGCCCAACCCAAAAGTCTCTCCATCCTACGTGGGATGAGGAGACCCGGTGCCTGAAGGTGATGTGGGGTGCTGAGCCTGAATGGTTGCTTGCAGGAGGCAGTGGAGTAAAATGGAGCAAAGATCCTCCCTGAGTGGATAGGAAAATTAAATCCTGACTCCGCAGGACACAGAGCCTCCTCGGGAGGTGGCCAAGGTGCAGGAGCAGCCCCTGAGCTCCTCCAGGACCTGGGCATGGTCCTGGGCTTTGTGTCCTTGCCCTTGGGTATTCACGGTGGGTTTTGGTGATTCCCTAGCACACCAGTCCTTGTATCCAGGACGGGGGGACCCTGAGGGCTCTGCTCCCGACTGGGAGCCCTCAGCTGGCAGTGACAGGCAGGCAAACCCCACCGGGACCCTGTTTTGGTGCCCTTCTCCTCTTTTGCCCTTCTCTAACATCAAGCAGCATCCCTGCACCAAAACCCCAGACACACTTCCAGCTGGAAATGGGCCAGCAAGGGAAACGCCAACTTGGGAACACGCCAGAAAGAGGATGAAGCTTGCAAGAAGAGCTTGAATTGCTCCCTGGGGACACAGGGGATGGTGACGGGCATCAGAGGGGTCCCAGCACATCCCAAAGACGTTCCCCACGAGCTGTCCTTACCTGTAGGTGACAGCCTGCAGGGCCCGGCAGTAGCAGCTGGCCAGCCAGAGCGAGCGGTCGGTCAGCACGTTGGGGCAGTGCGAGATGCGGAGGATGAGCAGGTTGCTGCCCGTGGCCTTCAGCAGGGACTCCAGCCCCGCTTCCAGGCAGCCCCTGTGGGGAACGGAGGCAGGATCAGGCACGGGGAACCCTGCTCACGCTCCCTGCAACCACCCCCGGTGGGTTAGATCCCGTTGGGGTTGGATGCTGGGTCCCAAAACCCACGGCAGGAGCCAGGGAGTGATGAAAGACCATGAGTGGAAACAGGTCATCGGTGCTCGTGGAGCATCACCATCCCTGGAGGGGTGCTGGGGGGGTGCCCGGTGCCGCGGGGAACTCACCGCGTGCTCTTCATGTAGTCCTCCTTGCTCTCCTTCTTCCCCCGCTGGCGTGGCTTGAGGTTTTGGAGGGTGAGGGAGTGCATCTGGGTGCACCACTGGGACAGCATGGCCAGGAACTGGGGGACAGGGGTGGCTGTCACTGGAGGGGGTACTTTGAGTGATGTCCCGTGCCACCCAGCCTTGGCTATATGGGGCAGGTCTGTGCACACCCCACCGCACACACGCACACACACAAAATCCTTTTTTTCATGCACAAACATAGCCAGAATGATGTGAAAATGCACGTGCAGGAGCGAATGCGTGTGTGTGCCCTCACCCCTGTCCCCGTACCTTGGAGGAGACCCTGGCGTTCTCCAGCAGCACCCGCGTCCACACGGCCGGGTGCCGGGCCACGAATTTCCAGTCCTTGCACACCTCGGCTGCCCGCAGCAGGGTCTTGGTGTCCAGGTAGGTGAAGATGCAGAAGAGCGCTGCCCTCATCTTGAGGATCTCGGGGCTGATCACCTCGCTGGAGTGCCCGGGGCTGCCCCTCTCCAGCCGGCCCCCCTTGCACATAGCCCCCTCGGACCTGGCTGTGGGACGTGTGCCGTCAGCGCCACCAGCAAGCTGGAGAAGGGATGCTCCTTTCGGAGACAGGGGAGAGGAAAGAGGCCACCCAAAACCTCCATGCACCACGGTGGTGGCATCCCCGTCCCCCACCCCGCTCCCTCCCCATCCTCGAGCCCCCCAGCGCGGTCTCACCAGTCAGCCTGCAGCTGCCGGGGTGCCGGGACGCGGCGATGCCGGGCACCTCTGGATCCCAACCCTCAGCCTCCGACTCGGTGGTGCGGGACCCTACATCGGAGACATCTCCCTCCTCGCCCTCGGTGCTGTTGCGGTAGGGCCGGCGGTGCCAATTTTGGATGGCCTGGCGCCGCAGCCCCGAGCCCCGGCCACCATCCCGCGCCGCGTAGGGGTGCCCGTCGGCGGTGTCGTCGGTGGGGCACGGCTCCGCGCTGTCGCTGTCGTAGCAGCCCGAGCTCTGCGACACCGCTTTCGCCCTGCTCGAGGCCCTGGGGGGATGGAGGTGTCCAACCTCAGGTCCTGCCATGGGCAGCTCCTTCCCGTGGGCGCCTCCCGTCCCGTTAAAATCCCAAATGGGCGCACTCACCCGGTGCTGGAGGAGGAGCGCTGGTTGGGGATGGCGTAGGGGCCGTGCACGGCTGGCCCTGGTCCTGGGTGCCGCTCTCTCTGTGGGGAGAGGGGACGTGAGGAGCCAACGTGGAGAAACCCATCGGATGTGGTGAATGCAGGTAGACATCCCCCTCACCACAAATATTTTGGGTCACGCCCACACGGGATGCAGAATTACACCCCCAGCATCATCCCCGCACCTCACCCACCCACGTGGCACCTGGATACCAACCAAGACCCTTTGGGAACCCCCCCGCCAGGGTCACCCACATCCCAAAAGGGTGTCCCCGCGTCCCCACTCAACCCTTTTGCAGCCACCCGAGAAACCACGCGAGCTCTCGTTCCCAAATATGTGGGGTGCCCGTGCCTGTGCCCGTGCCGGTACCGGTCGGCCGATGGCCTTGGCGCCCGGCGTGCCGCAGCGACCCAGGCTGCCGTTCGGGGTGGTGCCGCAGCTGCTGCTGATGATCTGGAGCTGCTTCTCGGCGCGGTCCGCCCGGTCCAGCAGCTCCTCGATGAAGTGCTGGAGGCGCACCTTGGCGTTGGCCTCGCGGGCAGCCGTCTCCTTCAGGAACTGGTCGATCTGCAGCACCTCCCTGCGCGGAGGGGGGACAGGAGGAGGTGGCAGCTGGGCAGGGATGCTCGTGCGCATCCCCAGACCATCATCAGCCTCGTTTTGGGGGGTCTCCCAGCACGGATGGTTCCACATTTGGGATCAATGGGGATGCAGGATGGATGCAGCCACCTATTTTTGGTGGGGACGGTGTCTCCAGCACCTTTTCTGGAAGGCACCCTCGCTGCCAGGACTGGGGTCAGGCCCCCGGGCATGGCAGAGCAGAGGGAGGAGGATGATGATGCTGTAGGATTACGGAGGGGCAGATTTAAAGGAATGAACCCAAGGACAGCCTGAACACTTAAACCCCACTCAGCTCCATATCCCATATCACCTTCAGCTCCTTCATTAATGTATTAATTAACAGTTCAGAGCCTTGAGCCTCTGGATGCGTCCCTGGCAAGGGGTTTGCTGTGCTGAGGCACCGCGATGTTGTCCCCGAGACTCAGCGTGCACGGTGACCTGCTCTCACCCCACACATGCATGAACCCAGGCACTCACACCACTGCTGACTTCATCCGATTCCCCAAAAATGCGTGTGGATACGCACAGGCACGCTCAGCCTTCACAGCCCCACGAGCACGTGTGTCCCATAAAAACGTGCATGGGGCACGCTGCCCTCACATCCCTGCAAATGCGCCCGTCCCATGAATTCACGCTTGCACACCCAGGCACTCACACCCCACGCCCACTCACAGGAGCATCACACCCACGTGCAGAGCCGCTCTTACGTGCCAAAGCACCATGGAAACGCAAAAAAAAAAAAAAAAGAAAAAAAAAAGAAAAAAAAGAAAAAGCAGCCTGGTACACACACACACACAGCGTGCACACCCGTGAGCACGCTCACCCAGACACACCCAGCTGCGTGCACACCGATCGCTCCCCGAAATCCCCCCCAAAAATGCACAGATGATGGTGCACACACGGATACACACTCAGAAAACCACTCTCACACTGACAGATGCACAACCACAGCTCTGTGCACACCCAGCCTTGCACACCTGGCTGCACGCATGCCCTGGAGCGCAAAGGGGAAGGAGAGGAGGAGGTAGCCCACAGCGGTGCCATTCATGCTGTTGGTTATTACTGCCCTTTAATTACCAACTAATTGCGCCCAAACCTGCCATTTGCAGGGGGAGCTCACCGGCAATAATTTGGGAAGGCTCCCGGCGAGGGATCCCTGAGATTTGGAAGGCAAATGGGGCGCTGGCACACGGCCGGCGGCGTAAGGGGATGCTGATGGTTATCTCCTGCCTCTCTCATTCCCGTGGACCGAGTGGAAAAACTCCCCTGGCAAAGCCAACGGAGCCGAGGTGCCAAAAGCCTCCCCGTGCCCATGGCTGCAGGGAACAAACGTCACCGGCCACGGCTCTTGGGTGTCACCAGGCACAGGGGCTGGGTGCAGGTTAGCCTCCAACCTCCACACCTTGTGGCTGATGAAGCCTGACTGGAAATATTAATTTAAGCTGGGAGGGGCGTGGAGAATCATAAAAATGGCAACACATTATTATTATTATTATTATTTTTGCTATGAATTCCTTTTTTTCCCCTGCTTTTCACAGTGAGCCCCAGCCTGCTGCCAGCTCATGGTCTGTCCCTGGAGGAGTTGGGGGATTTATGGGGATGGTGGATGGGTAGGAGGGCTTCTCTAGGGAGATTTCGATCCACCAGCACCCTGTTCCTCAGCCTGATGGCCACGTGCATCCCCAGCTTGGCCATGCCATGGGGCACTGGGGGCTCTGGGGTGGTCTGATGTGACGTGACAGCCTGGTCACGGACACGGAGGAGCTCAAGTCTAAGTGGGATAAGAAGCAAACCATGATGAGTGATGATGCCAAGGGGCTTGCGCAAAAGGGTTTGGTGACAGCGTTGGGCTCATCCCCGGGGCTGATGTCCCCCCACCCCACCGCAAGGAGGAGGAACAAAGGACTCACTGCTGCTTGCGGGTGAGCTCCTGCTCCTTCTGCACAAGGTCCTGCTTGAGGGACGCCAGCATCTCCACGCTGACGTCCACCTGGCGGGACAGCTCGGACGCCCGGTCCTCCAGCTCCTGCTTCTCGCGGCTGAGCCGCAGGCTCTCCTGCTTGGCTTTCTCCAGCTCCGAGCTCTTGCGGTCCAGCTCCACCTGGAGCCGGCCGACCTGCGAGGCGATCTTCTGCTCCACCTCCTCCGTCAGCTTCTCCAGCCGCTTGTCCACCTCCAGCTTCTCGAAGGCGCGGATTTTCAGCCGGGCCAGCCCTTCCTCGTAGGCAGCGTCCATCGCGGCCGGCGGCGTGGGGGCCGGCGCCACGGCTTTGCCCCGGGTGAAGATCTCGGTCAGGGGGATTTCGATCTCGTGGACATAGCGAGGAGAGGGGGAGGAGGACGGGGCCGGCTCCAGCTCCTCGGCGGGGACGAGGTCGCAGGAGAAGCGCTGCTCCTTGCCTTGGAAGGAGGTGCTCTCAAAATAGTCCCGCCGGGCGGCCGGCGTCAGCAGCGCCCCGTCGGCGGCCAGGGGGAAGACGGCGGCATCGCAGATGCTGTTGGTCTTGGAGAGGACGTAGAGGGTCTCATAGGTGTGGTTGTACTCCAGGTGAGCCCGCAGCGAGGAGAGGCTGCGGAAACGTTTGTGCTCCCCGCAGCGCGGACACCGGTAGGGAAGGTCCAGCGAGGCCATCCCTCAGCTACGCGCCCCGACGCAGGGGAACCGTGCGGCCCCGCTCATGGCGCGGGGCAGACGGATGGGAGGCGCGTAGGATGGGTCGGGGAAGCCCGGATGGTGGGGCCACAACTCCGCTGGGACATGGTGGGGTGGGAGCCCTGGGGTGGGAGAAGGGGTCCGGCAAGTCCTGGGGGGGGGCGTCAGCATTGGGTGGTGCTGGGCGCTGGAAGAGAGAGGGGGGGTTAGTGACACGGGGATGGCCAGGCCCCAAAAAGTCCTTCCCTGGTCCTTCTTCTTGGCACAACCTTTGGGAAGACCCACAAGCCTTGAGGAAGTGATCAACCTCCTCTTGGGAAAGGTCTGAAAGCCTTGGGAAGGTCCACAGCCCTTGGGAAGGTCCATAAACTTTGGGAAGGTCCACAGCCCTTGGGAATGTCTGCAACCCTTGGGAAGGTGCACAACAATTGGGAAGATCCACAACTGTTGTTGGGAAGATCCACAACCCTTGGGAAGATCCACAACCCTTGAGAGGATCTACAACCCTTGGGAGGATCCACAGACCTTGGGAAAGATCCACCACACTTGGGAAGATCCACACCCCTTGGGAAGAGACCTACAACCCTTGGGAAGATCCACAACTCTTGTTGGGAAGATCCATGACCCTTGGGGTGGTCCACAACAATTTGGGAGTTGCACAGTCCTTAGGGAGGCTCCCAGCCATAGGGCAGGTGGACAACCCATGGGGTATCTCTGTCCATCAGCCCTGGGCTTGCTGTAGGGGGATGTCCCGTGCGCTTTCCTGCACAAACACCATGCAAGGGGTCTCTGTGGTGCCAGGGGTCTCCAGCCCAAGCACCACGTCCCCAAGCACCACGTCCAAACCTTCCTTGAACACCCCCAGAGATGGGGACTTCACCACCTCCCTGCCACCCCATCCCTACACCCGACCACCCTATCTGAGAAGAAGGTGTGTGGGGTCACCTCGTGGCTCCACGCACCTCAGGATCCTGCTCCCCATGAGGTTTTTTTGACCCCAGGGCTGTGGGACCCCCAAATAGAGGACAAGCTGGCTTCCCCACGCCGTTTTTCCATGGGGACCTGTTTTATCCCCTGCTCACAAACCCTACAAGGTATCGGGGGAAACAAAACCCTTGGGGAACGGGGCAGGCCAGAGGAAACCGCGCCGTTTCCCGCGCAGGGCCGGGAGCACCCAGCTATCTCCTCCTCCTCTCTCGAGGAATTTGGTTTAATTATTTTAGGTTGGCTCCGTGCATCCAGCCGCTGGCCGGGCACGGGATTCCAGCTTGAAAAAAAAAAAAAAACCAAAAAAAAACAAAAAAAAACCAACCACGTTTCTGCCCCAAAAGAGACGCCGTGGCTGTTCCCCTCCCCAGAGCACTGAGGGCACCCATGGGTGGGAGCAGCCTTGGCTCACCCCTCTGCAAGAGGGCAATTCCCTGCACCCTAAAACCCCTCTGAGCCCCTTTGCACCCCAAAACCATGGACCTTCAAGAGGGCTAAATCACCGCTGAACCCTCCTCCTCCGCCCAGGGGGCTCAGAGCCACCAATATCCCCTGGGGTTCAGCGCACACCTCAAAACCCTTTTTTTTAGGGAAAAATTAGTAAGGGAAAAAAATCCATGCAGAGAATACTAATAAAAAAAGAACACAGATGTGCTGGGTGGATTTACGGGGCTGCCTGGCTCCTCCCGAAGCCGTCTGCTGGCCGGGTTTGTATTTTGGGGTAGTTACAAAACGCATCCATCCTCTCCCCTTCGCCCCTCCTGGCTCAGCGCCGGCAGCACAAAGCAGGGCCGGGAGCTCTGGGTTTCCATCGGGTGCTGGGGGGGGGATGATAAAGCGCTTTTCTGCTGTAGGGCCGTAGGGCCACGGCATCGTGCTGCTGATATTTGAGGCCTGGATCCCTGCCCGCATCTCTTGGGGTCCCCGATTTGGGATTTTCCAGCCCTAAGCCAGGGCAGGATGCGACCCAGGCGGGTGCGATGCCCACAGCGCCTCGCCCCTTGTCCTGGGTAAAGCCCTAGCTCTGAAAAACATCTCCTGGTTCCTTCCCCTCAATAGGGACCAGGATTTAGGGTTTGATGCCACCCTACAAGCCCGCAGCATCCCGAGCCCGGCAGCGCTCGTGGCCACCGGGAGATTGCAGCAGCAGCAGCAAAACCCATCCCTGGGCTGCTACCTCCGATCCATCATGGATCCTTTCTTCGCATTGTTTGGCTTTTTTTAATAAAAAAAAATAAAAATAAAAATTCCCCCCCCCAGTAAAATAAAATCAAATAAAATTAAATAAAATACAGAATTTTCATCAGGCTCCAGGGGGGGGCGGTGGGGAAGGAGGGTGCCGGTCCCCATCCTTCCCCAGCTGGGGCTGCAGTGACAGCACGGGGGGGGGTGCAGGGCAGCCGGGCCCCCCCGGATCAGGGCACAGCGGGTCCCCTTTTGCCCCCCCCATGGCATCAGCTTTGTCCCCAAAACCGGCGGCAGCCCCCCCCCAGCCATCAGCATCCCTCCTACCTGCTCCTCGCTCCTGCGGCCAGGGCAGCATCTCCGCCGCTTCCCCGTCCCCACCGAGCCTCCGGGGGGGAGCAGAGGAAGGGAAGGGGGGGGGCTCCGAGAGCTCCCACCCGCCCCGGTGCACAAAGGAGGAGGCTTCAGGGCTTGGTCGGGGAGGTGGGAGGAGAGCTGAGGGTTCCCGGCCCCTCGGGCAGCAGCCGGCTCCCTGCGGCCGGCAGCTCCATGGAGAGCCCTGGGGAAGGGCAGAAGGGAAGGGGGAGGGCTGCGGGGCGAGGGGGAGGCCGGAGGGAGGAGGAGGAAGAGGAGGTGGGTAGAGGCTGAAGGCCCCCGCCGGGGTGGGGAGAGGGGATGCTGGGCACCCCCGGGGCGCTGCGGGGCTCAGGGGGGGCTGCGCATGGCCAAGGATGGAAGGAGGGAGAGGGATGGAGGGAGGGATGGAGGGAGAGGGAAGGAGGGGAGGGCGAGAGCTGGCAGCCGCCTCCTCCTCCTCTTCCTCCTCCTCCTCCTCCTGCTTTGCAGCCTGAGCCCGGACCGCTCCTCGCTGCCTCTTTCCTCCCGCACAGCTCCCTCTGCCTGTCTCCCCACGAAGCTCCTCCGGGCCTTGCCGCTGCCATGCGGCCTCATCCTGCGCCCCCCCTGCCTGCCATTCCCCTCCTGTGCCCCCCAAAGCCATGCCCTTGCCCCTGGCAGGTTCTGCTTGGCATCACCCCGGAGCATCCCCTCCAGGCGTGGGCACCCGCACGGCTCCGTCCCCACCCGGTCCTGGTCCTGGTCCGGTCCCCGAGCTCCAGGGCTTGGTCCCTGGTTTGATTCTGATCCAGAAATCTGAGAACCTTGGCACGGTGCTGAGCCAGGTTCCCAAACACCACGGGGAGATCCCCAGCTCTGAGCGCCTTGGCTAGGTCCTTGGCTTCATCCTGACCCAGTCCCCAAACACACCGGTCCAGTCCCCAGGTGGTCCCTGAGCACCTCAGCTTGGTCATGATCCGGTCCCCAAATATCTCATCTTGGCCCCCAGTGGGGTCCTGATGTGCCCCCTGAGCACCTCAGCTCGGTCCCGATCCCGTCCCCAAGCACCCCCGCGTGGTTCCTGGTGCTGGAGCCACCCAGCACCAAAATATTTCATCCTCTCTGGTGGGGACGTGGCTTTGGATGCAGGTGGAGATGGCAGAGTGGGACCAGGGTGCTGCCAGCTGGGGGGGACAAGTGGCTGTCCCCATCCCCGGGCAGCCCTGGGGTTTGGGGTGCTCCGGCTGGAGCTCTGCCCTCGCAGAGCTTTTGGGGCCAGCATCAACAACAGATGCACTTTGGGGTTAATCAAGGCCTCGCGTATCTTGCACGGTGTGGAAGGTTCTTGTTATTTTCTTCCCCAAGAAAAATGCATTTTTTTTCCCGGTGCCCAGGGCCCTCCGCACCCCACGGGGCTCGCAGGTTCGATGGCAGCAGAGGAGAAGGGTGGGATTCCTCCCCGCAGGTTTTGGTGTGAATTTGGGGGAGATTGGGGGTGCTGAGCGTTGTTAAAGCAAAACTGGCAGCTGGGGGGACGTGGTGTGTGTGTCCCCCTGGTGTGGCACCGCTGTTGGTGCCATCAGAGCTCTGATCCTACGGCGAAAACACTCTCAGGGCCAGGTCCGGGGGGGATATTTAGGAACTCCCCCTCCTCCAGGTTTCCCTCTGGCCCCATCCCAGCCCCAGAGGCAGCCCCGGGGGACCCCCAGCCCCATCCCTCCCCATCTCCTCCTCGTGGTGTGGGGCTGCAGGTTCTCCTCCCCAGGGTGTTTTGGGGACAGATCCCTGCTTTTCTGGGCTGGGAGAGGGCAGGAAAACAACCTCAAGCCCTGAGCTCCAAAGAGGGTTTTTTGCTGGGCTGCATTTTTCCCAGTTTCTTCTGGGATTTCTTTCTTCCCCCTTTGCCCAAGCCTCTCTGGGGCCAAGGGGACATTTCCACCGACACCCCCACGATGTCCGTGCCTCCTTCCCTTCATCCCACCCCAGCCGCGGGGACCTGGCAGGATGGGGACCTGAGGCTGAGCTGGCTGCGGGGCTCCAAGTAGGACAAATCCCTCCAGGAGCAGGATTTGGCCGCTGCCCAGGGCCGCCCAGCATCCGTGGCCCCGGCACTCCTTGCAAAACGAGCCCAGAGCCACCGTCCTCTTTTCGGGGGCCTTTTTCCCGTTCCATTTGGGGACAGGACCCTTCTCCCGGGACGAGCTGCCCGCCTTGGAGTAAGGGATGAAGCCCACAGGCTCCCCCGCTGATGGATTTTCCCTCCCTGCTAATTATTTGGGCACCTTTTGGCAGCTAAAGGTGAAAACGCAGCAGAAATTCCCGCTGCCGCTGGGCGCCGCGCGGTTTCGGCAGGCAGAGAGCGAGCTCGGCGAGGCCTCAGGTTCAGAACAAACCTTTAATTAGAAAAAATAGACACGCTTCTCTAAGATCCCCTAATACAAAGAGGAAAAAATTCGTCATAACAACCACAT